TCCACCTTCCTCGTCACCTGGGAGCGCCCTGGCAAGGACGAGAATGGCGATGCCACCAAGAATCTGAAGGTCTGGCGCACCATCGAGGACGGTGTGCCCGCCGAGGAGAAGCAGCCCCTGGGCCGCTACGTCCAAAAGTCTCAGGGAGGCTGGAACCTGCAGTACACCGCCGACGAGAAGTTCTGCGCCCGCCAGGTCACCAACGAAGTCCAGTTCTACGAGAGCCACGATCTCGGCACCGTCTGGAACAAGCTGCGCGTCGAGGGTGTCACCACCTTTGCCCTTGCGCCTAGCAACAACCACTCTGTTGCCGTCTTCATCTCGGAGCGCAAGGTATGAATATTGTCATGACCATCTCATGTTGTTAATGCTGACTGGTCCCTCGCAGGGCCAACCCGCCGCCGTCAAGGTCTACAGCGTCCCGCAGTTCGCTCAGCCCATCTCCCAGAAGACCTTCTTCAAGGGCGACAAGGTCCAGCTCAAGTGGAACAACAAGGGCACGAGCCTGCTTGTGTTGGCCCAGACCGACGTCGACAAGTCGAACAAGAGCTACTACGGCGAGACGACCCTGTACCTGCTGAGTGTCAACGGCTCCTTTGACGCCCGCGTACCCCTCGACAAGGAGGGCCCCATTCACGACGTGACGTGGTCGCCTAATTCGAAAGAGTTTGGCGTCATCTACGGCTACATGCCCGCCAAATCGGTCATCTTCAACCACCGTGCCGTCCCCACCCACTCGTTCCCCCTCGGCCCCCGCAACACCATCATCTTCTCGCCCACCGGCCGCTTCGCCCTGCTCGCCGGCTTTGGCAATCTGGCAGGCCAGATTGATGTGTACGACCTCGAGAAAGACTTCCGCAAGGTCACAACTATCGAGAGTGGCAACCCGAGCATCTGCGTCTGGAGCCCCGACAGCCGCTACATCCTGACCGCCACCACGTCCCCTCGTCTCCGTGTCGACAACGGCGTAAAGCTGTGGCACGTTGGCGGTAGCATCATGTACAATGAGGACATGACTGAGCTGTACAACGTTCTGTGGAGGCCCATGGCCCTGGATGCCGTGGCCGGCGGCGACCCTCTGAGCCCCGTGCCCACGCCTCACTCGTCGGCGACGACCTACCTCGGCACCATCAAGACGCCTAGCAAGCCCGCCGGTGCCTACCGCCCCCCCGCGCTCGTGGCCTCGCCACGCCTCTGCACTTCAAGCGCGAGGACGAGGGCGGCTCAGTTCATGTCGTGCCAGTGGCTACGGTCCGACCACGCCGCGACGCCCATTGGGGCTACG